AGACCCAGAGATCTATACTGCATGGGATCACTCGTTTGCCAATTGTTTGCAATGCATACCTTGACCAAAACTTGCAGCCGTCGACGAGATTTAGCAAAAAGTAGATTAGAGACGCTTAGCGCAGACATGCATGCATGACTTCCCCAACGTCTCAGCGTGTATATATATAGATATGCATATACAAAGCTTTTCCCTTTCAACAGAGTGCTTTCAACACTACTACTACTACAAGTACTACTACTACTAGTACTACTACAAGTACTACTACTACTACTAGTACTACTACTACTACAAGTACTACTACTACTACCACTGGTACTACTACTTCTACTACTTATACTACTTTTTTCTTGCATCTCTTAGAACAAGGCACGAAATGTCGTGAACATCAAAGAGTGCATCCCGATGCCCCGTGAATGATGAGCAGCCATCCCATGGAGAGCAAGAACTAGATGACCAGCTTACTCAGGAGCAGTTCGATAACGAGTTAGAAAAGGGTCTAGAAGTGATGCTTACTCAGGAGGACCTTGTCGATGATGAGGATCCAGTGGGGGGAGCCTAGGGAAGAGAAGGCGGAGAGGATGCCCAAGGCGAAGAAGGGGATGATGATGACGACACCTCATCAGGGGGATATGTAAGTCCCGAGGATCCTTTCCCACGAGAACCCAGACGGAGGCCAACGGAGGACGAGTTGGACAAGGATTTTGATCCGAACGACGAGGTACGGATAAAGCCTTAGTAGCTTATAAATTTGGCTAATGCTATGGCTTTAAGTTACCTCTGCTAACACTTTTGACCTGCCGGATACACAGGTCGTCCCTACTCAACCTCTGAAAAGATGACGTCGGCCTTCGGCTCGTCTTGCCGGACAATACGTAGCGGGGCAAAGGAGATCAGAGGAAGGAGCCACAGATACTCACAATAAGGCCTCCGCTCCACAACCTCAGGACACAACCACGACTGAGACTGCCCAGCCAAAGAGGAAACGAGGGGGGATTAGAAAGCCAAACCAATATCATGACAAGGCATGCTATGTGATAACGGAGGTCGGGCCAGACGGGCAGATCCTTGAGCCATATACATACAGGGCAAAATTCCGTAATCACATCGGGTTTGTAGTTAGAGATAAGTTGAACCCAGCTATCCGTGGCTGGAATCTTGTACCTATAAGCCAAAAGGTAGACCTATGGGAGAAGCTGAAGCAGAACTTTAGGTTTCCGGAGGGAACGCACGAGTTGGTACAACAAAATGCTTTTAAGATAATGGGGCAGAGCTTCCGACGTTGGCGGTCGGATCTGAACAAGAACTTTATCCAACAGAAGTTAACTCCTTTCCACGAGTATGGCAACATAACTCCTAGTCAATGGGAGGAGCTCATGGCTGAGAAGACTTCAGAGGCATCATTGACCCTCAGTGCCCGTAACAGCGAGCAGGCGAAGAAGAACCAACACTACCCTCTTCTAGGCCCCGGTGGCTACGCTGACAAGCAAGAGGTCTTTAGGAAGATGGACGCAGAGGCCGAAGTTGTCGAGAATACGGAAGTGCCGAAGTTGAAGCCACGCCTTAAACAATGGATATACGCGAGGAGTGTCGATTCATCCGGTAGTAGCCTCAAGTTTGCTAAGTCGGAGACCGGAGAGGTAGTATCAAAGATACTGAAACTTGCTGAAGACAAGGAGAAGGGCACATTCAACCCTTCCAGAGAGAGGGACGAGCTTACCGTTGCCTTGGGAAACCCCGAGCACACAGGACGCACCAGGGGGCTAGGGAAGAGGATGTCCTGGAAGCACGGATTCGTAGAGGAGAGGCACATGTACAAGAAACATGGCAGAGACCGAGAGTCTCATCTTGAGCGCCAAGTGAAGGCTCTAGTTGAAAAGATGTTGGTGGAGAAAGGACTGTCTACGATGGAGCCACATACACCAATGGGGCCGCCCGGAGAACTGGCGGTAGTTGGCAGCCCTCCGGATGTTCCTAGCAGTCAAGGTTCTAATGCAACCAGAACCCCCGTTGATCGCATACGGGCACCAACCAGTTGCAAATTGGTGGTTCCGATGGGCAGGCAAAATGTGATCATTGAGGTGGCAACGGGCGTGGCACATCCTCCGGGTGGCACGTGGCACAATAGGGACATCCCGCTGGACTACACTTGGGTCAAGGTGCATACCGTGAAGCCCGAATTCATGACTTGGAAGATAGAACACCCTACTCCCGAGGGGCTCATGTTACTCGGAGACGTCATGAACCAGTTCATCTTCTAGCACAGACGGGACATTGTATTGACTGAGTCTTCGCCAACTCCGACTGAAGTTCGTCCTCTAGAGCGACCCGTCGAGGACGGGGAGGTATACTCACCGGCCCATGACCATGACCACCACACGCTAGAGACTTCTCCACCTCGTACCGAGCAAGGGCATGATGACATGCCACATCCTTCTCCACCTCGTATCGAGCATGGGCATGATGACATGCCACGTCCTTCTCTAGCTCGTACCGAGCAAAGGCATGATGAGATGCAACATCATTCTCAACAAGTGCAGCCGATACATGAACAACAAGTGTCTCATGAATAGCAATTGCCTCGTGAACAGCCGATACGTGAAGAACAAGTGGCCCCTGGAGCAGGTGATGCACAAGTTGACAAGGACGTGCCCGAATGGGAAGCTCGAAACAAAATCCCAATCAAGATAAGGCCATCGTATGTGGGCATTAATGACGTCTCGTCGGTGCACAAGTGGATGGCCCATGACCAGTTCAAGCCTAAGAACCAAGTAAAAGAATTCAGAGCACCAGCTTCTGAGGAGGGCACCACTAGCAAACTGCACAAAGGGTTTAACAAGTATCAAGCTGTTGATAACCTCAAATGGTCAAATGATTGCCCAGATAAATATGAAAAAGGCAAGAACTTCCTACCAAACCGAGTCATACAGTGCTTGCCACGTGGAATGAGAAAGTTCCACGATTGGTACTTGCGTGCTCAGATAACAGAACTAGAAATCTTACAAACATGGTCCCTACCGACACATTTGGAGCCCCAGGTGGGCAAATTGCCGTTGAGTTTAAGGATATCCAGGCATGCTTCCACCTCGGACGAATGGAAATGAATCTAATTCGAATATGGTGCCTATAAGTTCTTGCCCTCTTGATATGATATGAATGTAATCTTTTAATTTTGTTGTAACTAACCCACGCCGTGATTTGTAGAATGCAAGCGGACTTTGTGAAAAAGAGGCCAGCTCTGAAACACGGGTATATAGACCCTTCACCTATAGCATCAACAAATTTTAATTACCCTAAAGAGTGGAAACTAGATTGCAAAGAACTAGGAGCTGGAAAGACACTTAAGGAGAAAGAGGACATCAAGAACAAGAAAATATTGGAAGAGTCCCTCAAGGTTGCGGCATATATTGCCATATGTTTTAAAAATCTCCAACAACACGATAATATATGGATACCATACCACTTCAAGTAAGTTCGACTGTATACTTAGCTTTATTCAATATACTTTGTTCGATGCAAAAGAGCTTATGTGTTCCTTCTATGACTAAATTCATGCAGCGATCACTGGATTTGCATAGGCGTCTGGATCTCACATAGCATGGCATGGGTCTTTGATTCAGCGGATTTCCCAGTCGAGACATACAAAGACTTCATAGCGATTGTCAAGACGTATACATATTGACAATCCTCATTTTAGCTACTATGTTTGTATACATACTTGTAAGGTTCAATGTGGGATACTAACAAGTTGCATTTGTTAAAACTATTGGAACAGGGCATTCAGGCACTATATCCAGGAACATAAGGGGAGGCATCATCCAAATAGGAAGAAAAAGTTATATGTCAAAACTCTATGTACGGTAAGTGTCATTTACTTTGGTACTCCATATATTACGTGTCTGTCAATAGCATTACTTAACATCTCCATATGCAAAACACATAGTGTCCCAAGCAGAAGCCTGAGAGTCTACATTGTGGATACTACACATGTATTATGATGAGTACCATCGGTGGCTACAACAGAAACCACAATCTAGTAAGTTTGAACCTCTTCGCTCGTAGTATGAAAAGTTCGCATATGTTGTGATATAGTAAACCTAAACTTGTTCTCTTTTAGTTGGAGAAAGATAAAGACACGAGAAGGAACCCATACAAGGATGACGAGCTCTTAGAGATGGTCGACGACCTTTGCAACTTCATATGGACCAGATTGTGTACCATAAATGCACTTACCATCATCTTCTTTCCGACTTAGGTAGTAATCCTCTATACCAACACCTTCGGGAGACTGATAGGCTAGCCCTAGGCCGTTGATGATAATGTGGACTTGTGGTATGGTTTGGATCAGACTTTGGAACAGTTTGGACTTTGTTTTGCATGTGGACTTGTGGATTTCTTAATAGACTATGTTATAATGATGGACTTCATAATGGACTACGTTGTAATGATGGACTTTTGTGAATTATGACTTGTGATGATGTTCTAAATAATGGTCTTGTGTTTGTGAATGTATATATGTATATTTGTGGCGGTCAGATTTGAATTTGAATTATATATATATATATATATATATATATATATATATATATATATATATGTGTGTGTGTGTGTGTGTGTGTGTGGTCAGATTTGAATTTGATTTTTTTTTCTTGGAAAATCCACTGTAGGGGCGGTTCTTGATTGAACCGCTCTTACAAATACACACAGCAGGGGCAGCTGGTGATACAGCCGCCCTTACAGAAGCCCACTACAGGGGCAGCTGATATTACCAGCCGCCCTTACAGAGGGCACTGTAGAGGCGGCTGAAAACACCAGCCGCCCCTACAGAGAGCACTGCAGGGGCGGTCAGGAAACCGCCCCTACAGAGACACCCTCTGTAAGAACACCCTGGGAAGGGCGGCTGGCGCAGCCGCCCCTACAGAGGCTCTAGAGCCGTCCCTACAGTTAACTTCTGTAGTAGCGTGAGTGATAGTTTGGTAGTTGCCGTAAAAGTTATACACATGCATTTGGATCCAGCCATTACAAGCTTCGATGTCGAGTGCCGTGTGCTTCGGATGGATCGACATCGCAACCTGATAAAGATACTCAACACTTGTTCTAACCTAGACTTCAGGGCCCTGGTGCTTCAGTACATGCCCAATGGGAGCTTAGAGGGGCTCCTACACTCTGAAGGACGAATGCCTTTGGGCTTCCTCGAGAGGCTGAACATCATGCTAGATGTGTCGATGGCAATGGAGTATCTACACCATGAACACTGTGAGGTGGTTCTACACTGCGATTTGAAGCCTAGCAACGTGCTATTTGATGAGGACATGACTGCACATGTGGCGGATTTTGGGATTGCAAGGTTGCTGCTTGGTGGTGATAGTTCCATGATCTCTGCAAGCATGCCTGGAACAATTGGGTACATGGCATCAGGTACTTGTTGCTGTTGTTGTACTCTATCCAATCATTTTTGTTAATTAATCGTCTGGCCGATCGTATCTTCATTTTTTTTATAGTTGATTATTCGTGCTACAACTTTTTATACATGTGATTTCTTGAGCAGAGTACGGTTCTCTTGGAAAGGCATCACGGATGAGCGACGTGTTCAGCTATGGGATCATGCTCCTTGAAGTGTTCACAAGGAAGAGGCCTACAGATGGTATGTTCGTAGGAGAATTGAGCATCAAGCAGTGGGTCCATCAAGCATTTCTCGGACATCTTGTTGACGTGGACGTGGTGGATGATGGCCTAATACATGGTCATGATGGCTCTTCTTGTACCAGTAACCTGGATGGCTTTCTTGTGGCAGTGTTTCAGTTGGGCTTGCTCTGCTCGTCTGAGTCGCCTGAACACAGAACGACAATGAGCAATGTGGTGATGACACTGAAGAAGATCAAAATCCATTATATCAAATCGACACAAGATGCACATGATCCTAATGAATGATCGCCTCACTTGTATACGTGCACGTAAGGATAATATGGACGGGCAATGCTACGGTATCCTTCTTACTTAATATTTCAAATAAATCTGAGCCATTGATTTTTTAGATTTTCTAAATTAATTAATTAATTAAAAAAGGAAAACTATTCTCAAATCCCTCTAATCATGCGAGACATGGGTGGGCATGCAGCCCCTTCCTTGTTCTTGCGCATGGCTGTACCCTTTCTTTTGTGCAATTGTTGCCACGTACTTTTTTTTTTTGTTTCCATGGCTAAACTAAAATGACAACTATCACTCTCATGTCATGATGCATATAAACCTATCACATTATAAGGTTAAAATTGTACACCAATAACAACAGGGTACCAGAAATAAATTTTTAGTGGCTTCATCATGTATAAAGTTTGATGATATTTTATGTTAAAATTAAAAACCGGTCATATTTTAGCTATCTTAAAGTTTCATATACCCACGTAGTGTTTTATATACGTGCATGTAAGTTGGGCATATATATATATATATATGCACATTATGTTGCGTTACTAAGTAACAAGTGCATAAAAAATAATTAGTTTATTCTAATTAAATTATGTTATATCCAAAGTTGCTAAAATAAAAAAATTCATCATGTCTAATAGATCATGCATGCATCAATTAGATCTAAAAAGGATCTTTCACTAGTAGATAAACGACTTTTGATCCACTTCGAAATTTGGTTTTAGTTCCGATATTTTTTGCGTCCGGGACTAGAGAAACCTTTAGTCCCGGTTGGTAGCTCCACTTGGGACTAAAGGTCCCTGCCCAACGGTTACCGAGGTGTGTCAGAGGCACGTCAGTGTGAGAATCTTTAGTCCCGGTTTGAGACATGAACCCGGACTAAAAGTGACTTTTAGTTCGGGTTTGAGACACGAATCTGGACTAAAGGTACCTTTAGTCTCGATTTATGTCTCAAACCTGGACTAAAGGTGTCTCCAAACTGAATTTAAAAGGAAAGCGTATCTTATCTAAGTTAGATGTGTAATGGTAGGTGAGATGGTAACGCGTGCAAGAGCTGAAGTGGGAGGTCGTAGATTCGAATCTCCACAGCTGCAATTTTTTTTTTACCCAATAAATACCTCTACTCCCGGTTGAAGGAACCGGGACTAAAAATCAAGACATTTAGTCCCGATTGCGTAGTCCCGGTTCTAAAACCGGGATTAAAGGGGTTTGAGAACCGGGACTACAGCCCGTTTCTCTACCAGTGTTTACATCTAAAACTTTACTTATTTCATCTATTACCTCCTAGAAAGTAATACATGATTCTAACCCTCCGCTATAATCAAATAAACGGCTCACAGTCATTTAAGGGTACCACAGCAAAGCCCAATAGGGACACAGTGGTAACCCAGAAAAGCAACAAATAAGATGATGCTAGACCGGAGAAAAGGCTCTGAATTGATTAGAAATGAATTAAGTTTTAATTTGTAGTTCTATTTTTCTCTTACATATAGATGCATGGATTCTAAAGTCAAGAACGGCGCTGTAGCCCGGAGGTCCTGTCTCCGCAGCCTGAATATGGGCAAGCACAAACAAGAGGGTACGAAGGCTGGAAATGCCTTTATATGAACTGGTACTCCTGAGAGTTGCTGATGTGACTATGTGCTTGCTCGCTGTTATGAACTTCGTATATCGCACCTTTTTGTATCGCTAATCTTTTGCTATATTTGATCGTTTGTGAGACACAGCTACATGGCATGCCATAGTAGTATTGGTTCACTGTAATAAAAAGAGAGGCGTAGGAAAGTTGTAATACAATCTGATAAGGGTCGTAGAGAATATTATAGTAGTAGTATCTTGCACTAGTAACGGACGATCCATGACGCCTCATCATTGCCGCATACAGTGAAGCCAACAGTGATCCTGCTTCACAGTCGGGTCATAGAATTCAGCAAATGATTGGGACCCTAGAGACCCAACAGTGAAGATACCTATCATTGTCCAGTGGAGCTATAACCCGGCAGTGATATGACTTCACCTGTCAGCGACATAATGACACAACTATCGGGTTTTTGGATTAACCCGACGGTGTTATATGAATCCACCTAACTACCTATTACGCTCTTACTTATTATCCACGCGGTCGATCAGCTACCATCATTGTTTCTGATTATACAACATCCATTCAGCACATGTAGATCCCTTACCCCACGAACAGTTAAGGTCCCCTACTTGCAGTTTCACATGAATCCATTGACACTAGCTCATCGCTTCACTACTGGTAGTCTCAATATGTGCTCTCTCTGGGAGAGGAACTCATTTTCGGGAGAAAGCCCTCCACAAAAATCTTCTCTTTGTAGTCAAGATGGTGTACGAGAGATAGTAGAAGAATGTTCATGAAGATATAGCCACGCTGAAGCCCAGAGGCATTGGGTCATCACCGCTCGCAGCCTAGTGACTCGTCCGCCGCTCCAACATGCTCTTGCGTCTTTGAGACCCCACTCGTACGCTAGAAAGATGTTGGTGGGGGTGGCTATATTATAATGTGTTAAGATTTTGATGTTAACATTGGCTAGTGGGAGAAATGTTGTACCTCTTTTCTGTAAGGTCTTATTTGGTCAAATATCTAACGAAAAAATTCTATTTTCTTTTCATTAAGGTACGTATATATAATTTTTAAGGCTTTTATTATTATCGTATAAAATTTTGCTTTATATACCCTAAAAATTTCTTCACATGCAATAGACAGCTTATATGTAACTGTCCGTGTGTTTTAGAAATTTTTGGAATGATACACTATTTTTCATAGTTCAAATTAACTTCTGTTGTGTCAAAATAAATTCAAAATTAACTGTGTGCACCCTAATAAAATTCAAAAACTTACATAAAAATATATTTAAGGCGGTCACGTTCGTTTGGCTGATAAGCCATGGCTGAAAGTACTATTGGCTGATTTGTTATGAGAGAAAAACACTGTTCCGGCTAAAAAAAAACAAGCTAAAAAGTATGGATTATAAAACAAGCGAACAGGGTCTAGTCAATCATTTGCCATGGAGATATATGAAAAATCAATCGGTTTACAAGGATAATTTAACCTTTTAATGTCCAGATTAGCACTAATTAATTATAATAACACCTAAAAGTGGCCCAAAAAATTAAAAATTTGAGTGGAATCATATTTTGGGTGTATATGCTTGCTGTAAACTTTTTAAACGACTTTAATAAATGGGGCATCGCATCATTCACAAAAAAAGATATACTTTATGTGAATCAAGTGAAACTCTAAAGTTTGCATACAAACACGTGTATATAACATACAACCAAGAAAAAATATATAAAATAAATTTATGAAAAATTCCATAGCATTTATTGAACATATCTAACAAAACCTTAAATTTTTTTCTAAAGAAACAGATTAAAAAAATTCTGCTGGGTCAAGGACAACCCGATGACCATCCAAAACTACAAAGCAGACCCCAACCGGGCAATTCTTGAAATAACGAGGGTGCCCGGATGTGGCTCCTAGCATGCCCTGGTTTTGGCCTTATCTTCATGAGCATTCTTGTGGCACCTTCAGAACCCACAGTCGCTCCTATGCTACAGATGGAAGGCTTCTTCCTAGGTATTGAGGAGGAAGCTTATAAGAATGGCCATTATACTCACCACCTTATACTTCACCGCAGCTTGGGTGGATTATTTATCTCTCATCTCAGATCTTAGAATCAAAACTAAAAAGAGTAAAATGTGGACACCATTTTCGTGCGACAATTGTCTCGCGTCGTCGGTCTGCCTCCTCCTGCAATACCAGGAGTCATTCCCTCGCACCCCCACGCGCCATCATTCTGTCCATCATGCACCGGCGTCCCGGCCTCCACCGCGCGATCGTTTCCTAGAAAGATGGCAATCTCCCACGCGATCCCGGTATCCGTACATTCGATCGATCCTACAACACCCCACGTCCAAACTAGCAATACCAGGAGTCATTACCTCGCACCCCCACGCGCTGTCATTCCGTCCATCATGCACCGGCATCCCGGCCTCCACCGCGCGATCGTTTCCTAGAAAGATGGCAATCTCCCGCGCGATCCCGGTGATCCGTACATTCGATCGATCCTGTAACGCCCCACATCCAAAACTGCTTACATGGCCTAGCTCCGCACGTAGAACGGGCCTGCATACGCGTAGCAGGCCTCTTACACTCTTGTCCTCGCTTCGTGTAAAAGGGTTAACCTAGAGGTGCTACGTTTGAAACAACAAGGCTTATAAGCTGGCCTTCACCCTCCTAAACTTCCAAGGTGGTATTAAACCCACCAACAACAACTCCACATGTGTCACTTGTGCTACATGAGTCGACATCACAACTACTATAGGCTACAAATGGGCTGGGGTGTTACATTCACCCCCCTAAGGGCTGACGCCCTGTGGCAGAACCGTCTAATCTAATGTCCTCCTAAGAGTACTTGTCTTCCATTAGATACCAAGTACCCAAGAGAGTGCAATAAATCATACCATTCAGTCGAGCACACCCCAAGCGAGAACTCGAAAATCCACATTTTTCCCTTAGGATCATAAATGAGAGGATAAAGCTTACAACATTCTTAGCCAGTTCTTACGTCACTTTATCAGAGTACTTAAACAAGTTGAATGCAATAGCAGAAATTAAACATTTTACATGTAAACGAGTTTATACATTCCAAGTTCACAAGTTTTATCTTATAGCGGGGAATAAACATATAATCAGAGTTACTGCGGAAACAAAGATTAATTTACTGATATGGTGAAGCATTAACATAGTGGCCATTTATTTACAAGATATGCTAGCAGATGTTACATCTTTTCTTATAAAACCTTTAGTGAGGGTTATAAGCAAACACTATGATCGTAGCGTGAAAGGAATCATCTCTGAGCCCACTAGGAGGTTTTCACACATAAGAGTCAGCTTTAGTATCCACCTGTCACCTGCAACAGGGGGAATAAAACCATGAGTACTCAATTTTACTTAGCAAGACTTACCCGACAAGAGTAAA